TGGGCCAAGAGGTATTTTGGTCAATGAATGTGGTGTAAATGATGGTAAAACAATCAAGGGTAATTGGGTAATAGAGATATAGTTTGATTTTATTTATAAGAAAAGTGTTTTTACTAAAAGAGGGTAGAAATAGGTTAGTTGAAGTAATAATATTTTTAGTAAAAGTGATCTTACTAAAAATAGTGGGACACGGAAGTGTGCGATAGAAGTCTTTCTCTTTTTAGTAAAAGTGTTTTTACTAAAATTGGTGGAACAATGGTGGCTTTGGGGAAAGTAGTTCTTTCTAAAAATGGTTAAATAGGGGGAAAGTAGTTCTTTCTAAAATTGGTTAAATAAGGAGTTGTCTAAGGAAAACTTAGGAAAGTGGGATTGCTTTAAAAGGTATAGAGTGTTTAAGTGGTAATGAACATAAATGGTATAGAGTGTTTAAGTGATAATAGACATAAATGGTATGGAGTGTTTTGGTTTATGTGATGGATATAAATGGTATGAAGTGTTTAAATGATAATATATATAAGTGGTACGAAGTTTTTAGGTTAATGTGACGATAGGTTGAATTGTTTGATGGGTAAAAGAGTAGTAGCCGTTAGGTAAGCTTGAAATGGGTTTCAAAGAAAAAAATGGGTGATTTTAGTAAGAGAAAATCCGGCCACTGGTGAAGGAAATTCCAACCAAAAGCTTGTTCCTCCCAACAATAACAACACAACTCAAAACTCCTTCAAGAACAAATCAACTTCATCATCCCAAAATCAACCAACTCTAAAAACTTCTAAACTCCACAAAATTCAACAAACAACTACCATACACATACACAACCTAGAGCTCTGATACCAAATGATCCAAAACCTCCATGAAAACTCAACAAACAACCAAGAACTCACATGCATAGATTCGGCCAAACAATACCCTTCACAACTTTCATGCACGATTTCACCAAACAAGGGGATTTCAACTCCAAATCATATAAAAATACAGCACAAGACACACCAACCAAATTTGGACAAGGCTAAAAACAATCACAAGGATTTCGGCCAAGGTAGAAAAAGAACATAAAACAACTTACTTGAAAGTAAAAGATAGAGGCAAGAAAGGCCCTTCAAGCATAAAAGATTTCTCCACAAACTTGAAGTTGAATCACCACCAAATCCCTTGTCAAGACTTGGATAAAGATTTCAAAACAAAAGGAAAATCATTCCTCTCAAGTGTTTAATTTTCATTTCATAGTTCAACCTTAGAAAATGAGAGAGAGTTTGTTTATATAGTGGCATTATAAAGAAATTAACTAGATTAAGTAAAGTAAACATGTCACCTAAGATGATTAACTAAAACATAATAAAAGTAAACATGCCACCTAGGATGACTAACTAAAACATAACAAAAGTAATTAAATCCTACTAATAAGAGTACATGAGTTTGGACTTTGGAATTCATTGAAGTGAGCCCAAAATGAAATAGCATGAGAATGTTCTTTGGGTTTGGATAATGGGTTGTTGTGGACATCTTGAATACTTGGGCCTTTTCTTTATTGGACTTGGACTTCGCTTAATGAATTAGTGCTTGAACGGGGTTAGGCCGAGACGTGTCCTTTTCCTTGCACAATTTGGGCTAATGCTTCTCCTTAAGCTTGGGTTGGATCTGAATTGTCTTCTTGCACAAATTGGTTTGGTTCCTTTCCTTGGGCTTGGACCGAGTTACTATCCTTAGGATTCACATGCCATGTACCAAGTGTTTTAGGACTTAGAATGGCTTCTTTTGATTCAACCGAATTTACAAGTGTGTTATGACTTGCAATTCCTTTTTCACTCAAGTTTGCAAGTGTTTTAGGACTTGTAAACGGATCATCAAGCTTGTGGTTTATAGATGCAAATGTTGGTGATTATGTCAAATTTTAAGCTTTGATTGTTTGCCATTAGAAAATTTAACCGAGTATCTGTTTGAATTGGAGGGACAGAAAAGAAAGGTTAGCTGAGCGAAAGTTAATTCAACCTAGAAGCTCTGATACCATATCAGAATTAAGAGGGCAAGAGAGGCAATTTGAAGAGAACCGGAGTATACCCAAGAGATGATTATGTCTGAAAGATATCTTTAAGAGAGCAAGAGAGGTAATTGAAAAAAGTTGGATTATGCCTGAGAGATATCTTTGAGAGGGCAAGAATTATACTCAATTGAATTGAATTGTTTATATTGAATTATTTTGAATTGTCAATACATCACATATTTATATAAAAATTTAGTTATACAATAAGAAAACAAAATAATATAATTAACTCAATCAAGGAATTGATTGATTGAGTGATTTTGGGTGATTGACATAATCTTAGTGATTAGTAACATTCATATTTCAAATGAAACATTGGGTTTGTGGGATTAAAAATAGCATTCTTCATCATTGCGTCTTTCTAAATTTAAAACGATGCTTAGACAATGGATTTAGTAGTTTTGGCTCTGTTTGGTTCACAATTTTGTGTTTTTGGAAAAAGTTTTTTAAAAAAAGTTAAAGAAAAAGTTGAATTGGGCGGGTATTACGATGTAGGATTTACAAATTATTAAATACCCCCTATGTTTGTTTTTTTACAAAACACCCCTTATAATAAAATATTAAAAGTTAACAAAAACACCCCAATCCACCCTCAAATACGGACAGCCGACCACCACCGCCGGAGGGTGGCCGGAGTCGCCGTAACAAAAACATTAAAAATATTTAGGGGTATTTAATTGAATTAACAAATTTAGGGGGTTTAAAAAACATTGAATAAAGTTGAATAATATTGTGAGTTTTTGAGTATTTGACTGTTTAACTTTTTTGGGAATACTAAAAATAGTATTCCCAAAATCCAACCAAACGAAGCCTTTAATTTTTAAAATTTGTTCTTTTAAATGCAACATTGAAAATATATTTGTCTTTATTTTTTGAGAATTTGTAGCTATATGTCAATGTACGTTAATTATGTGAGGTTTAAACCCGAAATTTGAGAGAAAATGGGTTTGGAATTCAATTCTCTTTCTCATCTTTTTGCTAGGTTTGTCCTTGTCTATGTTTATCTCCTTGTTCTCCGTTTCCATGTATGGCTTCTAATTTGGGGCTTGGACACCTAGTTAAACAAATTTTGGGCCTGGGTTAGTATGCTAACCAATAATTATAATGGGCTTAGACCAAGCCTCAGCCCGCACCCTTTTATCCCCATCTATAGGACTGTAAACGAGCCGAGCCGGCTCGCGAGCCGGCTCGGCTCGGCTCGATAAAAGCTCGTTTAGAGCTCGGCTCGATAAGGCTCGGTTCGACTCGACTCGAACTCGGTTCGTTTACCGAGTCGAGTTCGAACACAGTAAAGCTCGGCTCGTGGGCTCGCGAGCTTGGCTTGGCTCGTGGGCTCGCGAGCTTGGCTTGGCTCGTGGGCTCGCGAGCCTGGCTCGGCTCAGCTCGATTAAGCACTGTACACTTAATAGGGTATTTTGGTGATTTTTTAAACTATTAGGTATTAAACTGATATTTTTCAGTGAAAAAAGTTTTAAAAAATGACAGTTTCCCCCCCTAAAGTGCAAATTTGAAATAACATGATACACCAAAACAGAGTGTCAATTACTCAATTTCAGTTTCCCATCCCAGTTGCCCTAAATCCCAAATCGCAATCAAAGACCCCTAAATCTCAAATCGCGAACTAGACACTCTAAAATCGATAATCTCCTAGGAATGTTATTTGTATATATTCAGAACTGTTTTTTGATTTTGTAAGGTAATAGACATTTTGTAATGTTCAAAACTATCATGATTAATTCAACATTGGATGTAAATATGAAATGCTGTACGCAAGCAGATTGCTATAAAAAAGGGGAACTTGGCTCGATCAAACCCGGATAAATGGTGGTTTGATCGAGCCTGGCGAGCCTCAAAATTGAGACTCGAGCTCGAGCTCGGTCAAGCTCGACAAGTCTCGCGAGCTCGATATCGAGCCGGCTCGCGAGCCGGCTCGAGCTCGAGCTCGAGTCTCAATTTTGAGGCTCGCCAGGCTCGAGCTCGAGCTCGACACTGTTGTAAATGAGCCGAGCTCGATAAGCCAAAAGCTCAACTCGGCTCGGCTCGTTTACACCCCTACCCATCTACAGCACAATTTTGTTTCCTTTACAATAAACAAAAATAAAGAAATAAAGAGTGTATATAGGACTTTAAGTCTAGAAGTTACTGTCACCACTTTTTTCAACTGTTTAAGTTAACTGATGGACTGTATAGTTGATATTTCCATTTTTCAAGAAGTATGTTTTATAGAAAAATAAAACTTCAAATTTATACAGTCGCCGAAACAGCGTACAATCGATCAGATCTGACTGGTCTTGTACCAATCTGGCCGTAAATGTGGCCAAAAAATCAATGTACATAATGGCAACAAATATCAGAGAATAATGTTGTTTTGCACTCCAAAACTCATTTGTTATATATTATTCAAACTAATACTTCACCAAAGGAAGGAGAAGGCAATTTATGACATTGAACCGCAAAAAATTGGATTTAAATACTGAGAGAAATAAATGGTATACCTAGATTTAGCCGTAAAAGTCTTATTTTGTTGTAAATTGTTCATTGAAATTGACTTATGGGTTTCTTTTTTTTTTCTTTTTTGTTAACAAATTTCTGGTTTTGTTAAATTACAACTGACTTTCAGTTATCAAAGGAAACAAAATAGATAATAATCAATTAATTGTTTGTTATATATAGATATAAGAACTTAAATATATTACCTATTATTAATGGATTATTATCTGTGTTTTCCTTTTATAACTAAAAATCAGTTGTATTTTAACAAGACCATAATTTTTTTTCACATGAGACAATTTCAAAAAACAATTTACGACTAAATAAGACTTTCACAGCTAAATCTTGGTATATCAATTATTTCTATCTCAGTATTTAAATCCAACCTTTTGCAAATTTAAAGTACAATTATTTCGATTAATGCTTTGATTAGTCTCCCTGTGCAGTGAATGACTTTCAGGCTTTGAAGAAAATGAGTTTTGGACTGAAAAACAACCTTAGTCTCTTGCTCTTGTCATTATGTACAAGCCTTTTCGCAGGTTTGTCTCTTTAACAAGAACTAGAACTCCAGTTTTGTTTTCTCTAACCTTGTTGTGATCAATATTTTATCTCGTTAGTATCTATTAATACATGGATTGATCTCTAAATTCTTGGTGTCATTTAACATGGATTCTTTTGAAAATCATCATGATTAGGCTGTCTGTCGACAATTATTATCTTTGCTTTGGTTGCAGGATTTGAAGCTAGTGTTTTATATGATTACACAGCTAGCATTGAGGTACGCTTTCCAATAATTTAATTGTCCATAATTTTATAAACTGTCAATCCTAGAATTCTAAGGTGGAAAACCATCCTCGCCACCTACATTTTACTTCAATAACTTGACTGTCACTGTTCTTTTAAGGGTTGACCATTGAATTAATGGCTTATTTTTCCTACTTTTGCCATCCAATCCCAGTGCCTAGAAAATCCCCATAAACCTCAATATGATGGAGGGATCATCACAAACCCGGATTTGAATCTTGGACTGGAAGGATGGTCAATATTTGGAAACGCAAAAATGGAACATAGACAATTAGGAGGCAACAAATTTCTGGTGTGCCATAGCAGAAATCAACCACATGATAGTATCTCACAAAAGCTTTACCTGCAGAAGGACATGCACTACACTTTCTCAGGTATTTATTAGTAACTATTTCTTATGCATGAACTAATCCTTAATTATTAATTACCAAACTAAAATACCTCTAGTAAAATAACCTAACCGTCGCTTTTTAATTGTTCGTATTTTTGTGGGTATTTTTAACTTACTATTGTGTAAACGATAATTAATGCAGCCTGGTTCCAAGTGAGTGAAGGAGAAGTTCCAGTAAGAGCATTTATCAAAACAAGTAGTGGCTCCAAATTTGTTGGTGCTGTTGTAGCTGAGTCCAAGTGTTGGTCCATGCTTAAGGGTGGCTTCACAGCGGATGAGTCAACGCCAGCTGAGCTTTCCTTTGAGGTTTTTACTTTTTTTAATCAAAACTCTATTGAATGCTCAACAAATATTTCACCTCACATTCTCTTTTACTTTTTTTCTTCTATTTTCTCTTCAAGCACTAGACGTTTAATCCCTTCTCTAATTCCTATCAGATTTTAAGAAAATAATTATATTTATAAGTTGATAACACTAGCCATAAATTATTATAATTTTTACAAAAAAAAAAAGTATTACGAGTAAAATTTATATCTACCATGTAAACTTCCGATACAATTTTAAACATTTTAAGTTTGTTCAATTAATCTTTAATCTGTATGACTTCTGCAGAGCAATCACACATCAATTGAAATATGGGTTGATAGTGTCTCATTACAACCATTCACCCGAGAAGAGTGGAACTCCCATCAAGATCAAAGCATTGAGAAGGTAAATTGCCTTAGTATCTTTCCTTTTCCTTTTAACCTGAAAACTATGATGTGATAACTATATGTATAAGACTAGAAGCAGAACTTTCATACAATTGATATGGTATAAATTTTTATCCTTTAAATTACCTTAAATATATATTTCATCTTTTCAAAGATCTTCTGGGATGAATTTTCTCAATGAATTAGCTGGAGCGGGAACCCTCTAATTACATCTATAATAATTTAACATTTGGCAGAAACATAAGAGAAGAGTAATGCTTCAGGCAGTGGATTCACGAGGAAATCCTTTGACTAATGCAAAACTTTCCATTGAGCAAAAGGTTTCGTCAAGAATGCCGATTGGATGTGCTACAAACAAGAACATACTCAACAACAAGAAGTATCAAGACTGGTTTACTTCAAGATTCGGTTTAACAACGTTTGAAAATGAAATGAAGTGGTATAGCACTGAACCTTCCCAAGGAAAGGAGGACTATTCAGTAGCTGACACCATGCTTCAATTCATGAAAAAAAACCGTATTGCAGTTCGTGGTCACAACATCTTTTGGGATGATCCCAAATATCAACCCGGTTGGCTCTATTCACTCTCATCATCAGCACTTCGTTTAGCTGCTGAGAAAAGGGCAAAATCCATAGTTACAAGATATAAAGGCCAACTTATTGCTTGGGACGTTATTAACGAAAACTTGCATTTTTCTTTCTTTGAAAACAAGATGGGAGCAGATGCATCCATAATGGCTTTCAAGTATGCTAATCAATATGATCCATCAACTTTAATGTTTATGAATGATTATAATACAATCGAGGAGATGGGAGATCAGGTATCATCTCCTGCTAATTACCTTAAAAAGCTAAGACAGATCCAAAGTTCTCTCAGTAAAGGTGCACGTGTGGCTATTGGACTGGAGTCTCATTTTAGGGTGCCAAACATCCCTTACATGAGAGCTTCTATTGATAAGCTTGCTGCTGCAGGAGTTCCAATTTGGCTTACAGAAGTGGATGTTGAAAAAGGCCCCAATCAGGTAAAAACTTAATTACTTAACACTTCATAATTGCATTAAACAACTAACATTTATCATCGTCCCCAAAACCCAAACACAAACAAAAAGAAGAAAGTAGAAATTAAAATAAAATTGTGATTAGACATTATGCTGACATGTTCTTATATTTCTTGGATGACTTATATGGGCAGGCATTGTTCCTAGAGCAAGTATTAAGGGAAGGGCATAGTCACCCTAAAGTCGGTGGAATAGTGATATGGGGTGCATGGTCACCTCAAGGTTGTTACCGTATGTGTTTAACTGATAATAATTTTAACAATTTACCTACCGGGAATGTTGTAGACAAACTATTGAATGAATGGGGCAGAAGAAAGCTTCAGGCTACAACAGATGATAATGGCTTCTTTGAGGCCTCACTTTCCCATGGAGATTACGAAGTGAAGGTAAATCACCCGATTATAAAAAATCCTTCCTTGGTTCACACCTTCAGTATCGTGCCCTCAAGAAACTCTTCAACGGTTCTTCTTCGAGATTCTCCATGAAATTACGTTGTTTTTCTTTGATTTGACATTAATATTATTGTACTTTTGTAATAATTGAAGAATTATAAGCTTTATCTCTCATAAGATTTTAAAAGTTGAATAATACTTTTAACGTACTAACGGATTTTATTAATCAGTGTATTAACATTTATTAAAATCACACATAATATCCGTATTATAAATATGGTATTCGTACTATACTTTAAGTTAGTACACTGATTAATAAAATTCGTTAGTGCGTATGACATTACCCTTGAAAGTTTTATGCTATATGCTTCTTTGGTTTCTTTATAATTGAAACTCTTTCCAAAATAAATGACGATGCCAACTCAACCCTCTCTCTCTTGCTCGACATTTGCCCCTGTTTTTTCTCTTCCACTGTTTCTCTAACCCACATCTTCTTTCTCTCTTTCTATACTCTGCCCCTTATCTCCTCTCTCCACTTTTTCTATTGCCCAAATCTCTTCTTTCTCTATCTCTTCCCTTCATCTCCTCTCTTTCACGAACATAATAAAAAAAATGGGAGTAAGTCAGTAGAGAGAGAAAATGACAATATATACATATTAAATTATTTAAGTATTTCACACATGTGTATGTAGCGGGAAAGACAAAATTTTCCCACCTGCAATATCAGAGGAAGAAGTCAGTAAGAGGAGAGATAAAATTGATTTATTAAAAAGTATGCAAAGCCTTAGAACGCAATTATAAAGAAACGGAAGGAATAACTTTGTATATCTATGTATATAAGATTTATTTTATTATTTATTCATAGATCCTAAATCCTAATATTTCATTTCACTCAAATAAAATAAATTCAAGAAAAAATTTCCAAAAGAGACTTTCAATAATTATTCTCTCGTTGTTTGTAGATTTATAATGGGGCGAACGACAAGTTCCCACCCAAGGTTTGGCCTAATAACAAGTTCCCACCTAAAAAGTTTTAAAACGACAGTTTCACACCCATCCATCCAATTTTTGTGTTAATTCCAACTGTAGAAGGATATAATAGTAAATTCAGTTTATTTTAATTTTTTTAGAAAACCTGCCACCGGCCACCACCTGCCGTTGGCCACTATCTCGTTCTCTTCCATAACCTCTCCGTAACCACCACAAGCAACTCTACCATTTCAGGGACATAGGTCTTCAGAGCATCAAAAGTGTACCCCATCTGCTCCCAAGACGCAAAGGCTGATCTGTTACCTCCAATAGCCTCCACTTCCATCACAATGCGCAACTGGATACGATTTTTAGTGCTCTTGAATGCCATTTTCTCCAGCAAGTGGGAGGCCTAACATGATATTGGTGTCTCATGAACAAAACCACAATCAAGATATATCCCTATGGAGGCTGCTAGGACTTAATTAGACAAATAACACTCATTAAAATAACAAACAACCAAACAAAAACAAGACAGTACTAATCACTTCCAAATGGCAATTAGGAGTTGAATAAAACAAAGCATCAAAACGTTGCTGCAACCCACACATACAGCTGATGTTGCCGAGGCAATTCTGATTTTATTGTTAAGAGTTGTAACCTTAACCTTTCCTGGTTCAACATAATCAGGCAGTACAGGTGGAAGGGAAACACCTTCAAGTACTGCGTCCAAATATAAGAAAAAGAAGGAAAGATAAGAAGAGAAGAAAAGGAAAGGAAGAGAGAAAAAAAAGGAAGAAAAGAAAAGAGAAATGGAAGAGAGAAAGCGGCCTGGTGCAATTGAGAGAGGAAAGAGAAGAAGAGAAGAAAAGAAAAAGAAAGAAGGAAAGAGGAGGAGAAAAAAAATTATGGTTTGTTTCTCACGTTTATATACGGGAATAAAATGACATAATTATCCTTTAATTACTGTTTAAAATTATTATTCTGTCCTTTCTACAGTTGAAAATTATCGGACAAATTGGATGGATGAGTGGGAAACTGTCATTTTGAAACTATTCGAGTGGGAAACTGTCATTTTGAAACTATTCGAGTGGGAACTTGTCATTAAGCCAAACCTTAGGTGAGAACTTGTCACTAACCCATTTATAATGTGTTAGATTACGAGTCTTTTTCTAATGAGATGTTAACTTCTAATAGGATGAATCTTTGTTTCTTTTTCTTATGATTCTTTTTCACCTGGGATTAGGTTGACTTATTATCTTATTTACATTAGATTTTTTATTCTTTATGTATACACATTTATTTAGAAATCATATTCCTTGAAGATTTTTGGTTCCTAAAGTCTTTGAATTAAAGTATCATAAATAGGTGATGAATTAGAAGAGAGATCTTTATTATTGTTATTTGTCTTTTATTCTAGTGAAATTAATATTTCTATAATGTTTAGAATTAAAGTTTTTATTAGTTATTGTTTCTTCTTTGAGTGTTCTAGTTAAAACCTATTGGTTGTGTGTTTGACCAAACATTCCGCAACATGATGACCCAAATTTGCCAATAATGGAGAAGTAATTAAAATGGAACTTGACCTCACCTAATTGGTGAGAGCATTGGATCGTTGATTTCCACGGCTTATAGTAGTTTGTATGGTAAATGGACAAGCAATTTTAGACCGTTCAATTCTCTTTCTCATCTTTTTGCTAGGTTTGTCCTTTGTCTATATTTAATCTCCTTATTATCATACCTTTTCTCCCTTTCCATGTATGGCTTCAAATTTGGGGCTTGGAGACATAGTTAAACTAACTTTGGGCCTGGGTTTGTATGCTAACAAATAATTATAATGGGCTTAGACCAAGCCCCTTCAATTAATACTCGGGCTATTTTTGCTCACTCCGCACCCTTATTTTTTTGCAATAATATTATATTTACAAAAAAATCTTACAAAAATTTGCATACAAAGTAAGGTGGCAAAAAATAGATGGAAGAGTGAAACAAAAAGTCAAACTCATTAAATTCACTCTTCCATTCATTTTTTTGTCACATCACTTTGTATGGAGATCTTTATAAAATTTCTTTGTAAGTATAGCATTACTCTTTTTTTTGGGGGGGGAGAGGGGTAGGTACACCCGACACCCTTTTGATCCCCATTTACAGCATGATTTTGCTTCCTTTGTTATAAACAAAAATAAAGAAATAAAGAGTTATGAGATTTTAAGCCTCAGAATTTACTGTGACCACTTTTTCAATTATTTAAGTTAATTGATGGACTTCCATAGGGTGAGAGGTTTCGATACCCCCTGGAATTGCTAAGAACCAGAACCAGTCAGTTCCTAACTAAAGGAACCCGAATTGGAACCGACTAGTTCCGGTTTCGGTTCCTTTCCCAAGTATCCTATAAAATTTCAATCACCCCCTATTAATTTAAAAATGACAAATACACCTTAAAAAATTATAATACACCTCTGGTAGNTACACCGTACACCCCGCACCCTTTTGATCCCCATTTACAGCACAATTTTGCTTCCTTTGTCATAAACAAAAATAAAGAAATAAAGAGTTATGGGATTTTAAGCCTCAGAATTAACTGTCACCACTTTTTCAATTGTTTAAGTTAACTGATGGTGGACTCCCATAGGGTGAGCGGTTTCGATACCCCTTAGAATTGCTAAGAACTAGAACCGGTCGGTTCCTAACAAAAGGAATCTGAATTGGAACTAACTAGTTCTGGTTCCGATTTCTTTCCCAAGTATCCTATAAAATTTTTATCACCCCCTATTAATTTAAAAATGACAAATACACCTTAAAAATTTCAATACACCCTAGTAGTTCACAAAATTTACACATACGCCCCTGGTTCAAAAACCAGTTTCCAAACAGGGTACCTGGATGTGGATTCTAGTTCCAATTACTAGTTCAAGCATTGCAGGAACTAGAACTGGAACCAGACCTAGGATTTCTCAATTCTAATTTACTCGAAATCGACGATTCAGATACCCGTAGGTTCTGGGCCTACCTTTTACCCATGCTCAACTTATACTGTATAATTGATATTTTCATTTCAAGAAGTGTGTTTTTTACTAGATTAAAAAAAAAAAAAAACCAAAATTTATTCTTTTCCTTCCCCTTGTTTTTTCCTTTTTTCCTTTCCTTTTCTTCTTCCGGTATCATTGTCGGGCCAAATTGGCCTATAGTAGCATCACCAACTACTATAGGTCTCCAGGCCTCCAGAGGGTGCTGCAAGGTCATATCCTGCTCCTACCTCTAGGGGTGTCGTGAGGTTGGCTTCAGCCTCTAATAGTGCCTCAAGTAATGCCATAAAGCCACTAGAGACCATGTCGCTACTCCCAGTGGCAAGTCAACTTCGATTTGGTTTTTTTGTGGTTTCAGGCCAGCAATTGTTAAAAAATGTAAGTTTTAATAATGGAATGAGAATTGAAATTTTTAATAATTTCAAGAAAAATTTGTTGTTTATGAGAGATTTGAGTACTCTTTTTCTTTTAAGTTACACGAGTGTTCAAAGGTACATGAAATTGATGATTCATCCCATCGTTTATCAGTTATCACATGACCCACACTGTTGTGATTTGTGATGGAAGAAAATTCAAAAATGAATTCAAACTCTTGAATAATTCCGACAAAACACGTGTCAGTTACAATATAATATTATTAATAAGCGGATTATATCTCCTTCTTCGTCTCCTATCTTTCTACTTGAAAGTATCGGCAGCCGCACCACTTTGAGAAAGAATCTGTTTCGAAATGGAAGGAGAAACGAGCAAGTCGAGCATAACAAAAAGCCTTCTAGCCGTGAAGCAGCAATCGGGGAAGTCTTACAGTCAGATAGCAGAAGAAACAGGGCTGACCAACGTCTATGTGGCCCAGCTCTTCAGACGCCAAGCTCAACTCAACCCCGACACATCCTCTAAGCTACAGGCGGCCGTGCCCAACATCCCTGTCGAGCTTCTCCATGAGATGATGAAACCCCCCATGAGGTCCTACGACCCCAACTTGATCCAGGAGCCCGCCGTTTACAGGTTTATAAATATTTATATTCAATTTGACGGAGTTTTATATTCATAATTTATATTTATTTTTAATAAAAATTTCATGAATTTGTGTAGATTAAATGAAGCGGTGATGCATTTTGGAGAGAGTATTAAGGAAATTATCAATGAGGAGTTTGGTGATGGGATGTAAGTTGTGATCAATCTATGGTTTTATTGCGTTTCAGTATTAGAATATGATTGTATTGTTGTTTGTGTAGTGGAAAAATATTGATAAACCTTATTAATTTTGCAATTTTTCTGGGAATATATGCTGCATTTGGTTCTTGGAAATGTGGGGATAGATGTTCAGTCATTTTTGTTTCAGTTGTGGTTGCTTTTTTGCTGATACGAAGTTGAAGTTTATTTAATTTGATGGTTAGTCTTCCTGTTGCAGAGTCAATTTAGCACCGCCATTGAAACGAAACCTTTGTGAGGTTATTGAAACTTAGGCCATTTTTTTTAAGCTTGTCTCTTGAGACTTTCATTAGCACTTAGAAACATGTATTGAGATTACAGATTCGAACTAATTTTCACTTGTCTTCTTTTGTTTTCTTAGAGATTGGAGTGAAAGAGGGAAAATTAACACTTTTCTACACAGTTTAATTCAATAAGTTTTGGAAAATTACTATAGGCTAAGATGAACTATTATGCATTCATGAGCTAAAGTTGGCACCTAGCCAAGACAATTTGAGGTCAGTCATTGAGAAGGTTCCATCTTTTGTGATGAATAATGATTAAATGTGGCAGTGTAGAGTATTGGAGTTCTTGAAGTTTTATTTAAATGTACTCAAAATAACACGCAGTCATTTCTCCAAATTAAACATTGTTGACTTCCGCCTAATTGTTTATCTTTCTTGTTTTCTTTGCTGGGTTAGTATGTTTGTAGACATCTCATTCTGTATTCAGCTTTTTATTTATTGTCTTTCTTATCTTTGTTGGTCAGTATGTCAGCAATAGATTTCTACTGCTCCGTTGACAAAGTTAAGGGTGTGGACGGGAAAGATCGCGTAGTGGTCACATTTGATGGAAAATATTTGCCTTATTCTGAGCAGGTCAGTTTTCTTTAATGCTCTATGGGAGCTTGAATTGAAGCTCGCCTGATTTTTTGTTGCAACTAAATAAAATTGAATGATCTTTAAGGAAAAAAAAAAAAAAAAAGCTCAAATGTAGCTAGCTGTAGTGTCTTGAAGTTCAATTTTCTCATCTTGATTAAATATGGATAGTTTAAACACATGCAGTTATTCAGCTAATGCCAATATCAAACTAAACCTTGCAATTGAGTTATCTTAAGTCATTTCTTAGAAAGTGAAAGCTAGTTGTTGCTTGTGGATTATGAAAGAATATTTGTTTAAATTTCTGGGCTTGTGCCTGTTAGAGGTTAATGACTTAATTGACTGTTTCCCATAAATCAAACCCGAGGTCTGCTGTGGAGGGTGGCCTTGTTGAAACTCATTAGCATTTTCTTTTAAGTTTTTAAATGCGTTGAAGAGAATTGTTGATTTAATGAGTCACTTGTGTCAAGTGTTTTTCACCTCATTAAGGCACTCACTGAGGTTTCAAATATAAGCACCTAATCACTAAGTTGACAATGTTTCTGTTCTATGGCACTTTTTCATTGTCCCTGGACAAAACTTGATGATGTCTTATTGATGGAAGGGCATTCTTTTCATGTGCTTCAAAATTTCTCTTGGGTGGGTGGGGAAGTTTTTAATCTCATCAAAAAATAAGAACAGTGTATCAGCCGCTAGCTTAAATATGTAGGAAATAAATAAGAATAGGATACAGAAAAGTATTCAAAGAAAATAAAATCCTGAGTGCTCTACTCTAACTGCTGAATAACTCTGGTACTATATGTCTATGCATAGAATATTATGTGTCGAATAGTATGCCCATATCATGTCAGTTTGAGTTATAGTTTTCAACTATCATTCTTAACAAACATACTTAAATCTCTGTTGATCTCCTATCAGAAGTCGGAGCACATGGTTTCAAGACTACAACGGCAGTGAAGTTGATGAATACAGAATAATCATGCCGGTGCTTTGTTTGAACAATATGAAGTAATTTTCTCCATTTCTTGAATTGGCGAACGGAACATAGCAAGACAAATCTGTACCATAGCCATTATATAGTTGTTTGTGCACTCATAAATCCTTACAAAGATCTTTTTATGAATCTATGATTTGTAAACAGTTCTTGATGAATCCATGGCGGAGATAACTCCCACTTATGTTATTGTTGTGGACTCATAAATCTTTACAAAGATATGCTTTTATGAATCTGATCTTTTACACACAGTTCTTGATGAATCTATGGATATATCAAAACTGAATGGATTGGTCAGCCATGATTGGATTTGGGACTTGGGAGACCTGGATTTTTATCTAAAAGTTAATTTATTTTTTATTAATTAACATAAGTTATACGACTTTATAATTTTACCTTTTTATAGTCTTAATTTAACATTTAACATATTTAGTATATATGCTATGAGAAAACGTTTCAACGGGGATGTAGGATGAGAAAAAACTATGTATACATAGGTTGATTGTTGACGATATATAGTTCTTTTTGTTGCAAAATAATGGTGGACATCCACGCCTTAACTTTGAGGCAGTGAATGGAGGAGGGGCCGTTGGCTATAAAAAGCCCCCCTCCCCTTCATTTTACTATTACAATGAAGTGAAAAGAAAAGAAAATTTACAACTCCCTTTGGCTTTACTTTCTTAAACATTTTGTCTTCCTTAATCTATTACAGTTATACCACTAAGATTATAACACGATATCAGCACGAAGAGCTTAACAAGTGTAACAGTGCACGCCTACTGAAAATGCGTATTTTCAACCTTACAAATGTTATTTAATCCTTGTTTCTGCCTTTATGGCTGGATTTAATTATTATCATTAAATTCCGCATATTTTTAATCACATATGTGTTCCTTAATCTTTGTTTCCGCCTCTATGGTCGGATTTATTTATTACTATTTAATTCCGCCTTCATGGTCAGATTTATTTATTATTATTGAATTCCACATCCATGGTTGGATTTATTTATTACTGTTAAATTCCACCTTTATAGTCGGATCTATTTATTATTGTTAAATTTCTCCTCTATGATCGGATCTACTCATTATTGTTAAATTCTACCTCTATGGCTGGATCTATTTATTATTGTTGAAACTGCCTTCATGGTCGGATCTATTTATTCTTGTCAAATACAACCTTTACAGTTAGATTTGTTTTATTATATTTTCGATAACCAATGTTAGCAATTATGCCTCCATATTATATTTGATAAATGAACTTGAAGTTCCATAAATAATATCGTTTTAGAACTTGAAGTTCTATAATTACAAACATGAAGTTTGTACTTACTAATGTAATTTTTTTTTTTTAAAGAATGGACTTTGAAACTGAGACATCGATATCCAGTAATAGTGGAGACATTTGTATAGTAGATAGTGTAACAACCCACACCATCCTTTGGGATAAAAAATATTTCTCAGGTTTAACCTTTACTAAGGCTAAAATAAATACCACATCAGGATCTGCAAACATAATTGAGGGCTTCGGAAGAGCAACACTCATGTTACCAAGCGGAGTTAAATTAAGTATCTGTGATGCTTTATATTCTAGCAAATCCAGAAGAAATTTGCTTAGTTTCAAAAATATACGACTCAATGGATACCACATTGAAACTCTAAGTGAAAAGGATAGAGAGTTTCTATGCATCACTGCTAATATTTCATGCCAAAAGCATGTGCTAGAGAAACTCCCTGCTTTCTCATCAGGGTTATATCATACATTCTTGAAGAATGTTGAACTCTATGCAGTTATGAACTAGAAGTCCACTGATCCTAAACTTTTTAAAATTTGGCATGACTGTCTTAGTCACCCAAGATCTACTATGATGTGTAGGATCATAAAAAACTCACATGAGCACCCATTAAAGAACTTGAGATTCTATCACCTAATAAGAGTGCTTGTATTGCTTGCTCACAAGGCAAATTAGCACTTAAGCCATCCATCACTAAAGCTGGTGTAGAATCCCCATCATTTTTACAAAGAATTCAAGGGAACATATGTAGACCTATTCATCAACCAAGTAGACCTTTTCGCTTCTTTATGGTACTGATTGACGCATTGGCATGATGGTCACATGTTTGTCTACTATCCACCCGTAATGTTGCCTTTGCTAGATTGCTAGCACACTTTCCAGATTACCCAATTAAAGCAGTCTGTTTGGACAATGCTAATGAGTTTACCTCAAAGACATTTGATGATTATTGTACAACAGTGGGAATTGATGTTGAACACCCAGTACCACATGTACATACCCAAAATGGTATGGCAGAATCATTTATAAAGCATATCCAATTAATTGCAAAAACTTTGCTATTACGTATATAATTACTGACTTCTGCATGGGCTCATGTTGTTTTACATGTCGCGGCGTTAATTAGCCTAAGATCCACTACATATCATCAATACTCTCCAATACAGCTTGTATTTGGGTATCAGTCTAATATATTCCATTTAAGAACTTTTGGTTGTGTTGTGCAAGTTCCAATTGAACCCCCTCAATGCCCCAAAATAGGACCCCAACATCGTTTGGGAATATATGTTGGCTATGACTCACCATCTATCATCAGATATCTTAAGCCCCTGATGGGCGACTTGTTTAACACATGTTTTGCGGATTGCCATTTTGATAAGACAACACTCCCATCTTTAAGGAAAAGGGTAAAGCCTCTTGAAGTAAGGCCTAAACTTTCCTGCAAAGTGAATTCTATGTCTCATTTAGATCCTTACACATCTCAATTTGAAATTGAAGTGCAAAGAATAACACATTTGCAAAATTTTGCCAACCAAATGCCTAATGCATTTATAGATGCAGCAAAGATAACAAGATCATACATTCCTGCTATCAATACAACGGCAAGGATTGATGTTACCATTGAATAATCCATGCGGGCAACGATCAATTCATCTGTTACACGTTGGAAGCGTGGTAGGCCTGTTGGAGCCAAGGATATTATTCCTAGGAAACAAAAGGTACGAAATCAAATAGGTGCCAATATTGACAATACTAGAATAATTGACAATTCCACATTTTCTAAACTAACTTTACAAAAGTTAACAGTCCTTGAAAGGACATAAGCCCCTGAAGAGGAAGAAATCCCTAAAGGAATACAAGAACATAGAAATGAAGAAATTTTTATAAACTATACTCACTCTAGAGAAATGTGGAATCGTGAGACAATTATTGTCCATAACATATTCTCATGCACAGTAGCTACTGAAATTATGAATGATAAGTTTGAGCCACATTTTGTTGATGAATGTCGATAAAGACATGATTTGCCAAAATGGGAAAATGCAATTCAAGTAGAATTAACCTCCCTAGCAAAACGTAATGTATTTGGACTTGTAGTCCAAACGCATGAAAATGTGAAACCTGTAGGATACAAGTGAGTATTCACAAGGAAACGAAATAAGAAAAATGAGATTACTAGGTATAAGGCCAGACTAGTGGCTCAAGGTTTCTTGCAGAAACCTAGAATTGACTTTGATGAGACGTATTCACCAATGATGGATGCTATCACATTTCGATACTTGATTAGTTTATCCGTCTCAAAAGGACTTGATATGCATCTCATGGACGTTGTCATTGCATATTTTTATGGTACACTGGATATTGATATCTATATGAAAATCCCTGAAGGATTCAAAGTGCCAAAAGCAAATGAAAGGAACACAATCAGAACGAATGTGCCATAATCGTCTTAGTGAATATCTGATGAAAGAAGGATACATCAATGATCATGTATGCCCGTGTGTCTTTATAAAAAGGTCGGAATCAAGATTTGCAATTGTGGCAGTATATGTCGATGACATGAACTTAATAGGGACTCTTGAAGAGGTCACAAAAGCTACTAAGTATTTAAAAAGAGAATTTGAAATGAAGGATCTCGAGAAAACAAAATATTGTCTCGGCCTGCAGATCGAGCATTGTTCAAATGGAGTTTTGCTCCATCAATCAAATTATACTAAAAAGATCCTAAGGCGATTTAATATGGATGAATCTCACCCCTTGAGTGCCCCAATGGTTGTTTGGTCTCTTGATCCTAAAAATGATCCATTTTGTCCTAAAGAAGATGATGAAAAGATACTTGGTCCTGAAGTACTGTATCTAAATGCAATAGGTGCGTTATTATATTTGGCACAATGTACAAGATCAGAAATAGCATTTGCAGTGAATCTGTTGGCAAGATTTAGCTCTGCACCTCGCCGACATTGGAATTGGATCAAACATGTCTTTCGTTACCTTGGTGGAACAAAAGATTTGGGATTATTTTATCCAAGGAAATTTGTTAATGATCCTAAATTAGTTGGCTATATAGATACTGGGTACCTTTCTGATCCTCACAAAGCCCGCTTACAAACGGGATATGTTTTCACTCATAATGGTATTACAATATCATGGTGCTCTACAAAAATAAACATTGGTTGCTTCTTCCTCCAACCACTATGAGATTCTTGTGCTTTATGAAGCCAATTGAGAATGCATATGGTTAAGACTTAAGATCTATCATCCATCACATTGAAAGTACATGCACATTGCCACGTACCTCAGATGCTCCCACAATTATAAATGAAAAGAATACAACATGTATTGCTCAAGTTAGGAGAAGATATATTAAAGGAGACAAAACCTAGCATATTTCATCGAAATTCTTTTACACTCACGAACTCCAGCAAAATTGTGAGATTGATGTCAAACAAATACGATCCAATGATAATCTTGCAAATTTATACACTAAGGCTTTATCGACATCAACATTTGAAAAGTTAGTGTATAACATCGATATGCGACGGCTCAATAAGTTACTAAGTTAATGCTACCATTATGAGAAGGAGCATTGATCAAGAGGAACATCGATTAGGGAGAGTTTTTAGACAAGTATATTGTACTATTTATTGTAATAGACATATCTTCACTGTACTCTTTTTTCCTTGATCAGGTTTTGTCCCACTGGGTTTTCCTGACAAGGTTTTTAATGAGGCAATATGAAGCACGTCCAACTTCACGTTACAGTTATATTTCTTTACTTGGTTTTTTTTCCATAGGGCTTTTCTCGAGTAAAATAAATACACTTAAGCCCCCCTTCATTTTACTATTACAATGAAGTGAAAAGAAAATAAAATTTACAGCCCCCCTTCGACTTTACTTTCTTAAACATTTTGTCTTACTTAATATATTATAGTTATACCACTAAGATTATAACCTTTTCTT